TTTTTAAAGTCGCACATAGATCTAATCTACTGTGAAAAACAGGTAAAGTCTATTTGGTAAATAACATAATCCCATAAAACAGTATAAACAAAGTGTTCTACACTAATTTTAAAGTGTCTATAAAATTTGCCTGGTATTTAAAATGGTTTTATGGGTCAGTAAAATGTAATAGATTTAAAATCTAATCAGAACGTTTGGGCAAGTTTATATTTAAGCATTTAAAACGACTTGTCTTCACTTAATTCTCGTGTGGCCCAATATTTTAATGCTTGAATTATTGTATTGTTTCTTTGCTTAACTTGTAGTTCCATTTGTATATAAAAATAACGATTAACAAACTAATGATTTTGCAAATATTGTGTTCTTTAGTCCTATATAGCGCACCGAATATGATGGTATTGTACTGTTTCCGGTAAAATTTCCTCGCAAAAATGGGACGCTGATATAACATTTTTGTCATGCATTCTTTTTTAAAAAAATGTGATTAATGTACTATTGAATGACATATATTTTAGTTGGTTGAATATATGTTTATTTCCTACGGCTGATTCACATATATTTTTCATTTCCTGCTTTAGTGAATAGTTACATTAACGTTTTTATTATTGAAGTAACGAATAAAGTACATTTGACCTTAAAAGTGCCAATGTGACTTAAAATATAAAACACATTAACAAAAACCTAGGCTGGTATTTCTACAGGCTTGACTATTATTTTACAGGGATTGCACTTTATATACAATGAAATAAATCACGCCTGTATTTTTTTCTGTGGTCAGTGTTAATGTACTCGTCAGTTAAAGGTGCAGCTTTTCTTATTTATTTTTTTAAAATCGTTTTATTAAATTAATTAAAAATACGTAAATCAAAGTATGTAAATAAGTAATAAAAAAAACAAATATCCCTATGTAAGGCGGGATTAATATGCCAAAGATTTGCTTACTGTAAAACAAGCTTACTGTAAAACAAGATGTACAAATTTAAATAAAAACAAAACTTACTGTCAATTTGTATGGTATATAACAAGTCCTTTACAAAAACTGCTGTAAGTTTAAAAAACAACTTGGCATAAGTATATACCTAAATCCATGTAGATAAAATAATCAAACAAAACGTAGATACTATTTCACATTTTCCTTACAGACCTTGAAATGAACAGCAAGTGCTGTCTTTTATTTAAGATTTAAGATAAAAAAAAATAGATAAATAAAGATAAAAAAGGAGTAAAGTTACTGTATAATTATGTAGGAGGTGGCTAGCCTACTTCACAAAACGCTCTATTTACTTACATTATACAAACATGTATGTGGGGTGTTAACAAAACAGCTAGAGCAATAATTTTGTTTTGTACTATTCAACTTTTTTCCGCGGAACAGTTGCCAAACTACTCTCTCATCGCGGAGCAATTTCCAAAGTCTCTTTCTGCAGAGCAGTTGCCAAACTCTCTTACCGCGGAGCAGTTGCCAAACTCAATTTCTGCAGAGCAGTTGCCAAACTCTCTTACCGCGGAGCAGTTGCCAAACTCTCTTTCTGCAGAGCAGTTGCCAAACTTTCTTACCACGGAGCAGTTGCCAAACTCTCTTTCCGAGCTGCAGTTGCCAAACTCTCTTTCCGCGGAGCAGTTGCCAGACTATCTTTCCGTGTAGCAGTTGACAAACTCTCTTTCCGCGGAGCAGTTGCCAGACTATCTTTCCGCGGAGCAGTTGCCAAACTCTCTTTCCGCGGGGCAGTTGCCAAACTATCTTTCCGCGAGTTTGTCACAACAGGTCAACCAATCATCTCTGGTAATTTAGATAACATGACCTTGACCTGCCGTGTGCCTTCTCCGCGACGTGCACGCATCTGGAGGGATATTGAGAAGAATTCTGCTGTATCACAATTTTCCGGATTTATATATGAGTACCTAGGAGGGCGGTTTGATTACGTGGCGTCGAGTTTTGGCTCCCCATTAACCGAGTGACTGACTTAGAAAGGAGACCGATATACCAGAAGCCTAGTTAACAAGCTCCAGATCATAGCTGTTAAGTTTAATTGAACATGCCCAAGCTGTGCATGCATGTTCATGTATTTAATAAAACGTCATTTACTTGAGTTCCTTAAGATAACGTGGAATTGAAAAATCTGTTGTAACTATTGACGCCCATATGTTTAGAATTGATAAATGCTAATGGTTCTGCCATGGGTATCCGGCGATGAGAATTTGTTTATTGCTGTTCCCGTTTTCCATTGTTATAAAAATGCTGCTTTGCACAATTGATATTCTTATTTATGAGATTTTATTAAGTATTCATCACCAATCAAAATGTTAATGAACGCCCCTTTTTAATATAGAGTACAAATCTATGTATAAATTATATGAGGGGTGTAGCTCAACACCAGCACTTGCATTATTGCTAAAATATTGACATTGCATAAAGATAGTTTTTTATAAAAATAAAAAATATTAAAATATGAAAGTGTGTGTTACACATAACTTAATATGTCACGCCTCAGAAATCTTATACCCGTATAAATCAGAACAGATATATAACCTTTGTGTTTCTATGGTTACGGAAAATATTAGAAACATTAAACAAATTGACAGTTTAAAACATATAATATTTTGGTAAACTTCACTTACGTGATTCATCATCCAAGTTTTAATCTACACATATTTTACGGGGGAAGTTATTTTAAAATACACGATATAATATACCACAATGCGACAAAGATACGCGCTAAATTTCTGATAATTATCATTAGTGAATCTGTCAAACAATTACGATCAGAAATAATGGTCAATGATATGCATTGAACTGTTATATCGGCTCTGTTAGATGGACATTAATGGCAAAGATCAAAGTAAATACGTAGTGATAACATGATCATAAAATAATGATAATATTATTGTGACAACAACATTTTAATATAATTAGCCGCCGCATATTCAGTTGTCCTTCTGGAGACACAGTTTATATTTTCGTACATTATTCCAACTACAAGCAACCAATAAGTTAACAACCACCTTTCCGAATGTAGCACTGAGACCACTACAGCGACTTCTACAACTATGATTATGACTAAAACTATGATGACGACTACGACTATGGGTATGATTGTAACGACTAGGATGACGATTACTTGGTTAACGACTACTACGACTTTATCGTCTTATACCACATCAGGTACGACAATAACGATGAGAACAACGACTTCAACGACGAAGCTTACTTCGACAATTACTACAATTACGACAACCTACCACGACTATTTATATGCTTAATTAAAACTTCGACGAAGAGGGAGAGCGACTATGATTAAAACTACATCAATGGCTATGACAATCGGTACAACTACGACTGTTACTATAACGATAATATAACTAGTACTACTATGTAACTACTAAAACCACGATGACTATGACTAAGCTACCATCTGCATAACAACTACGACAACGATAAGTACGAGCACTCAAACGACTTCTACTACGATTAAAACTACGAGGACAACAACGACAACAATTAAACCACGGAATCGTATACGATAATGGGTACAACTTCAACTATGACTATCACGACAAATTCGACTATTACTACGCATACGGCTATGTCACAGAATGCTACTTCTACGATAACGACTAAACCGACGACGACGAAAACTACTACTTCGTTTATCTATGATAACTACGACGACGACCTCCATTTTCTTGTTATCACTTTTTCATGTCATCACTTACAACCTAATTATCTTAATTAGGCACACACGGACGTAAACACGGGTAGATCAACCAAACTCAAGGCAGCTAACATTATAACTTTCTCATATTCAAGAACTCTACAACTCTGTCAGTCTTGACAGTTTTGTTTCAAATCGTTAAGTTTCTTTACGAAGATAACTGTATATTAATCTTTTATGAAAGTAGAGTCCAATTTATGCTTCCGTAACATAAAAAAGCTACGAGATTGCATTGAATATTCACGCATTTTATTTATTTTTACAATTATCAATTATAAATGTAGTTATGATTAGTTGTGAATTTATGCATCTTGTATTATGGACAAAAACATTATTTAACTAGAAAATGTACTTTATATAGTCCCTAGCTTTGTTCAGGTAACATTTACAAGAATGATTGCTTCGTCCTAGAAAATAATCGGGTGTAAAAGGACGAAAATGAAGTCACATAATATTATAATGTAAATAAACGCTCCTTTAGAATTAATCATTCGATGCACTTAAACCATACGCGTTTAACACTTTAACTGTATGTCTTATGTACTATCTTACCATCCTTGCCGTAAGATAAAAATTTAAACTGTTTAAAATTGTGAAAATATACCTCAAAGTACGTGTTGCATCAGGTTTAAGGCAAGATCTGTGTATATCATTTAACAATAAAGATTGCAATTTTTGTGTGATCTTTATCGTTATACTGTCATATGTAGTAACATTACCGTAAAGATATTATATCTTAACAGCTATTTAAGATATTTAACCATTTGTACAAAAATTACGCAAAGTCCGAGTATACCTAAAATATAACAACTGGTTGAAAGCTTTCATTCAAACATTCAATGTGTCTTTATAATTAGCCCATCACTGAAACGTTACCTTTTAAAACATTTCTGATGATATAAGAACACCTAACATGCTAGTAAACCAATGGGACTGGCGAAGAAAAAAAAACGTTACGAACGGTTTATTTGGGATATCAGTTTCTAACTTACAGAATCCTTACATCACTTTAAAGCCAGCCGGTATTTAATCCGTGAAATCAATGAAAACAAGAATGCATATGCTTTATTTATAAACGTGCAAATCAGTACTTTAAATGTTTTTTTCCTGTGTTTTTTTTTTCTTGTTTTTTTTTTTTTGTAAATAACTTCTGAGGATATTTCAAATTTACCAATTTAATAACATCCCATCGACATTTCTTCTTATGATATTTGTAATTTATGTACTTATATTTCAGGAAATGTTATCAATTATCGGCATTTTCATTTATTAATATAAACGTCTTACCTTTATCATGAATCCGACATTTACGCAAACAGAATGTCAAAGTGTAAATCAAAGTAATCCGAGATAAGATAGAATAATTGTTGACTCTTAAAGTAAATATACATGTACAACTTTCCTGTTTTGTTGTTGTTGTTTTTTGTCCAGAAAATATCGGTTTTGGGAATGCAATTATTTCTTTTTCACAAGTTGACTACATAATAATCAAGCATAACATAAACTGTTACAAATGAGGTGAAAATCTGCGCGGATGTAAATTTAGTGTAAATTCAATATCAATGCGCGGTATTTAAAGTAGACAACTTTATCAACGTGCTGGGGTATTTATTCGCAAATACAAAACTTCGGTTTATCACAAATTTCATCAGATTTCATGTTTATTGTATTGAACAACACAAAAGAGGATAAAATGACGCCTTACCCAATGTCAAGCTGTTAAAGGACTTAACATAAAGCAAACAATAGATTGTCTGACATTTGACATAGAAGTGTATCCCTCCAGCGCCGCATTTTATTTTTCTACTTACTAATTTTGATACCTTAGCTTATTCGAAGGTATTAATTAAACATTTACAAAAACTTTTCATCTAGGTTAGGGTACTAAATGACTGACAGTAGACTGGCGATAATATGACGATAGACTGGCGATAATATGACGATAGACTGGCGATAATCTGACGAAAGACTGACGATAGAATAGCGATAATCTGGCAATAGACTAGCGATAATATGGCAATAGAGTGACGATAATCAGACGAAAGACTGACGATAATCTAATACTTGCAGGATGATATATAAAATGAATATTTCATGACTTAATAATAATATTAATATTTTTTGATAATTAATAAGTTTAAATAAACGATTTAATACGCGGCATGGTGATATGTGATTAGCTATGTCTTGGAAATTATTAACGAAACATTGAGCAAATGTACCTATTCCGCGAACAAATACTTTTGTTTTTAAAGTATCATTAGGTATAACGTTCACACATGAAAACGAAAAATGAAGATCTGTATGATGGCATTGAAGATTTTGCACTTTAAAATACTGCTTTTGAAACAAAACAAAAACAACAATAACAACAACAATAATAATAAAAAAAAACACGTTACTTTTACTAAAAAAAAATTCATTGAACTACCAATACCACTCAGTCAAACTCATATCCTGTTATAATACTGTTACATCTGTGTTTGATATAACATGTATAACTCATAGATTTCATATCCGGTTACGATTCCGGATTTTGGTCCATTCGTACTCAGTCGAATATTTAAAAGAAGCATTCCTCTGGTTATAATTGAAATTACCAAACAATTTTACCATGGAGGTTGATTTGTGCTTTATTTTCCATGTGACAGAACGATAGAACGACAAAAACAACAACAACAACGACGACGACAAAAACAACAACAACGACAAAAACAACAATAACAAGAAACGGTTGGTGTAATCCGGAAACGGAATCCTAAAATTGACATATATGCCATGCGTCCTTGCATTCATATTTAGTCCAATGAAATAAGTAAATATAAGCAAAAGTCATCGTTTGCCGTGTGTTTCGTGTTTCCCGCCTTTTACCGTATCACACCGCCATATGTCAATGTGATCAGCCACTGCACGTATGGAATTTTAAAAAAAAAACGGTTGATATAAGAGAAATGTATGATTAGAAAGGTGATACAATGGTATCAATAAACGATGTGAAATGAGCCACGTCATGACAAAACCAACATAATGGTTTTGCGACCAGCATGGATCCAGACCAGCCTGCGCATCCGCGCAGTCTGATCAGGATCCATGCTGTTCGCTGTCAGTTTCTCAACTTGTAATAGAGTTAGTAAGCGAACAGCATGGATCCTGATCAGACTGCGCGGATGCGCAGGTTGGTCTGGATCCATGCTGGTCGCAAACCCAATTACAATAAGCTGCAACAATTGTCTTGTATAAACACCGTCAACACATTATATAACTCGTAACAAACATATCAGGAAAAAGAAGAAGAAACACAAAAAAATAACCAACCTCAAGGCGAAATATTTCCTTTTCGTTAAGAAGTCAGTCGTGCCATACTTTTATTTGCGGCGAGCGTTTTTACATAAATCCATTTCTGTTAGGGTTAACTTAACTAATACAATATGTTATAAAGAACGTTTCCTATTATCTTTTTATTCGATCTACTCGACCAGTCCTTTTTTTAAAGAAAAAAGTCATTATAACAAGTTTCATGACGCAATAATACTCTTAGGGGCGTCCTGCTTTATTTTCCATTCATACAGAAGATTTTGACTATTTTATATTTTGTTATTAGCTAAAATCTTTTTAAGTTTAAATCCTACTTTCATTGTTAAAGTCACGCAAATAGATATCTATCAGGTATCAGAAGGCAGATTTATATAATCTATTCAAAAGTATCGTTTTAACAATTGTTGAAACAAAAAATACACTGGTATAAGATTTTACGTACATAAACTACTAATACTTAACTAGAATTTGTCCTGATTTATGGATAAATTAGGCGTTTTAGTGTGACTGATTGACCATGTCTTTAGTTATGTCTAATGATAGCTGGAAATACGTGTACAGCACTAATCAATTAATGACCCATACCATGATAAAATATACTTTAAATGGACTTGTCCATCTTTCAAGTTTTTACAACATTAAATTTTAGGGAAACTCGTAAAATATGTACTGGGTGAATATCGAAGAGTGCCGACCTTAATCAGACGGCACATATAACGTCAGTTGGTCTTGGTGTACAGTGGTCGCTGTCAAGGATTTTATTCCAGATTTTTATACTTCACAACAGCAAGTGTCAAGTGTTGTGTGGCAGCTGTAAAAATTTACCCCGTACTTCACTTCAGTGTTGTTATATTTTTCTGGTTCTTCGGGATCATTGATGCCAGCACTATTAAGTGTTGAGAACTGTGTACCACTCAAATCGGTACTTGGGGGGCGTGAGGGATGTTGCACTTATATATTATCTCTCATGTACAGATTCAATCAAACCGAGTCTGCAATTTTCATGTAATTTTGTTGTGATTAGTACTTCCGAAGGATCACTTTCTTTAAGTGATTTACATTTTCTATTCGATGAAAATGTGAAAAATATTTATCCCATGAAATTTATACATTATAAAAGTTAGCAATTCTTGACCTTGACTCTCCTGACCTTCAAAATGTTTTACGAAAGTTGTAGTAAATGTTATTACATTTACAATAAAATAATCAGCAAAAAACACGCACACACAATCGCATCTTCTCGGCACTTTCCGTCAAACATCGATAAGAATAATCGTAGAGATGTTTCGATTAAAATTTACATAATTACACGTTTTAGCGCCATTACTATATAAGCATGCTGTTCTGAATAAAAAGGATATGCATTTTTTTTCTTAAAGTGTTTCATACGTGCCTGGATCAATTATCTATTGATATAAAAACAACTAAAGCAAATAAAAATGTTTGCTAAAGGATTATAAAACGAGTATGATATTACTAGAATATTATTGTTGTACACTCCAGATATAAGTTTAAACTAGTAAAGAACATTTAATTTAATTTCAGCTTATAATAATGCACATGATCACGTAAATCTTTCATTTATTTAAATCTTTTATATAATATCAAGTTATAATCGAACAGAATAAATAATTCCAAGGGCATTCTTTTGAGTCCCTTTCTCGTCCTTCCATGAAGGTTGGGTCATTTAAAGGAAAATATTTTACCACTATATATTTGGTCAGGCAAAAGCAAAAACTATTTTAAAAAATTAAATGGTTTTTATTCTATTTTGTTGTAATCCAATGTATGTTTGAATTTTCACTCTTGTTATTTTGAACACTATTTTGTCTGACAAAAGCAAAACCTATTGTTTTGTATCCTATTCTATTCTATTCTGTTATATTCCATTATATTGAATAAATTCCATTCATTTTCGCATCTTTATACTTGTAATGAATTTATTATCTTATTATCTATTAGAAAATCTAAACACTTAAATCATTATCTTTCGAATAGAACTTTATTTGAAATACTCCGCTTGAACAAAAAAACTTACCTTTCATTTATGCGATAATTATCCAGAGATTGCCTTTTTATGAATCAAATTAATTCCTAAAGTATAAGTTAATAGTATCAATAACGAATGTTAAACAGTCGTGTATGCTCACCGTTGATATAAAAATTATACATATTTTTAGTGGGTAAATGAACTTTTTATAACGTTTCAAGTACCGAACTATATACAATTGTTGTTGTTGTAGCCTTATTGACATGTACGATCTACTTCACTGCCCTTACAAATTCGCTAATAACTAATGAATTAGTTGAACAGTCCATTAATATTTCAAATAGTTTTCTACGGAGTGGAACGGACAACTTCGAGTAGATATGGACAGATATTTCCCATAAGGTATTTTGCAGAGGATCATATCATATTAAATCCGAAGACAAATGCAGTATGAAGCCGCCCGGTTAGCTCAAAAGGTACAGCGTTTGTCTTTGAATCAGGCGACCAGGGTCGATTCCCGGTGAGTGCAGGTCACTTTCGTTGTGATTGATCCACGGTCATTCGCACTGTACCTCTGCTCTGGCATGTACCAAAGTTAACAGCTGTACTGGTTAAACTCCTTGACAGCCTAGCTGTCCAGGAACGATGCGGTGGCTGAACTGAGCTCTGGGCTAACTGTCGTGATCCAGGTGAAAACTAACAACAACACCACCAAACACAGTAATGTTAAAGCCGGCGTCTTGTC